ATATATATATATATATATATATATATATATTCTTCTCTTTGAGACTATTATCTATATCGTATGATACATGACTGCCCAACTAATCAGTGATAACTGTCCGACCGGCTTTTGTACGGTGGTAAATATATGACTGTCCAACCGGTAATAAATAATGATGCCCAACCGGTGATAATTGCCCAACCGACCGTAGCCTGATGATAAATGAAGATGCATGACTGCTAACCGGTCATAACACAATGGTAAATATGTAAATGCCCAACCGACTGTAGGTAAAAGGGACTCACTTTAGGGATTACTAATCTACAAATCTCACAAACCATGCCACCTTGAATTGTGACTTAAAGAGTCACGTATATGGCTGCCGCATTTGGGGGGCTAAAAGACTTATCCAAGATTTTATGATTAACTAATTAATCTTTCACAAAAATTATTAATTAATCAATTATTCACATAATTAAGATTATCTCAAATTACTTAAAATACTATTTACTTTTAAGACAATTTATACACCGTACTATTACGGTTATGTGGTACCATATAAAATAAATTCATACACTATTATTTCATTAAAATATCCATGTAAAAATACATATATTTTCTCAACTTATAATTTTTTTAATCTCATATAAAGAATAAAAAAATTTGTACGCTTAATTCTTAAAATGGTAAAAAGATAACATTCTTTTCTTGTGAGGAAATAATTTCTATCTTTACAATAAAGAAAATCTCATAAACTTTCTCATATCATGTGTACAATTTAGCATATTCAAAAGTAGTAATATTAATAACTATATAAAAATCATATTTTTCAAACCCTTTTTTTTGTTTTTACAAAAATGTTCCACTCAAAATACCATATCAAATATATATATATATATATATATATATCAAGGTTGTTAAATTTACGGGGTCTTATAATAATATAGTCACGAATCCTCTATAACCTCATGAATTGTCTTAACCCCTTTAAGTTCATATGAATTACTACGACTTATCATAATATTAAAATACGGAATGTAACATAAATAACTTATGAGTATTTGTTTTATTTTCAATAAAGAAATTAAGATTAATATGGTCAAGTTTATTATTAATTAAAATATTTCGATTAATTCTTAAAAATGCGCTAGCCACTACGCCACCGTGTCCAACTCTCCATGGGGTTTTTCCCCCCACATAAATCTGCTAGACAATACGATATTCTCTCTACCCACTCCCCATCTCACACTCTCTCTGTCTACTTCTACTGGTCTACTACTTTCTGTAGATTCTTTTAATACCCTCCCTCCCTCACTCATTTCCTTTCTTCTCCAATCTTGTCTTTTCTGCATTCTTTTACCCTCTTTATATATTCCACCGTTCACACTTCTCACCAGACCAATAAAATCATCTTTCTTCTCAGTACTAAGAATCTGTAGATAACCCATTTTGCAAATAGAAGAATGAAGGCTCTTCATTTGATCAAATAAAGGTCTGTTCTTCTTATCACTCTCCATTGCTTTCCCTTTTCTTCTTCTTCTATATCTTTCTTCATTTGTCAGCTTCTCTTATTTTCCTTTTTTCCATAAAAGAAAAAAAGCTAAGAGATTACTATATTTTCTTTTAACTTCCTTTTTGCTTATCCTTATGTGGCGTTTGTTCTGCACAAAGCACACTAAATTCCAAAATCAACTCCAAATTTGTCGGTGGCTAACGTGTGAGGGAGAAGGGGGGGGGGATTAATATTTGTCTTGCCCTTCTGTTAGTTTTTAGATGCAATGTTTTCAAAAGAAATTGCATTATTCTGATTTTCTGTGTTGATATTTGAGAATCCATGAAAAATCCCCTTAAAAATAAATCTGAAGCTTCTGACACGATTCTTGCCTTTTTCTGACTTTTTCATCACAAAAGCGATTTTTTTATTACGCTAAAAGGTTCTGTTTTTGCCCTATTTTTAAAATTTTTCTTTAGCACAATGATGAACGCACGAAGTTTAAGAAAAAAAGCAGAATACTCTCGAAATTTATTGTTTATGGGATTGTGATATTTGTGAGTAAAATAAAAGAATTTAAAGTTATTTCTAAATTTATAAATTTGTTCTTTTTTTATTTTATATTTCAAGACTCGAGCCCGGTGACCATGACGGACTCACAGATTTTGAGAAAGTATAGTATTTTTGAGCTCTGAGTCAAATCGGAGCCTTAGGAAACTGGGCCCACTCATAACAAATCTTTTACTTATATGATACTCTGATTTGATTGGTTTTTGGGTCCGTTACTTTTTTTATTTTTGTCCTTTTTGGCCAGACTAGGTTGGGAAGCTGGATTGTGAAGTTAGCTAAAATTGACTTGTTGAGTCCAACATGTAACTAATTAAGTCATCAAAATAATTTGTTTCATTAAAGTTCTTAAATGGGTGAGTGGATCAATCAATTTCCTAGCTTTGGAAATAGAGGACCAAATTTTGATAAAGGGGTTTGGTTAATTGTGAGTTCATTAATATTCAAGTGCCTTCATTTTCGTAATTTCTTCATTAGAGGTAGCTTTTACTCCAAATCACCATAATAATGACAGTGAGGGTATTAAATCCTTTTCTCCTTGTCTTTTTCAAAATGTTAACAGTTGCATTAATTGTATTTTGCCATGTTTTGTCATATTGAACTTTCTCTAACATTTTCACTGTTGGTTGGTTCAGGTGGTTGTTGAGCAGCAATTTTAGAGATAATCCTTTGTCATATCAAGTACATTTAGTCAAGGAGTAACTAAGATTGGTAAAGATGGTACTCATGAGGAGGAGACTTGCCTGCTGTACAAGAGATAGAGAGATTAGCATTGACTTTGATGAAAATGAGAGTAAGCTTTTCTCTCTTATGGAGTCTCAAAGTTTTACTACTTGGATATATTCCTAACTTGATTCTGATTGAGGCGTAGTTGTTAAAATTATACAGAATGTTGGGGGGCAGATTTACAAGGTAAGGTATAGGTTCAGCAGTAGCTTTGTCACAGACCCTGCATATGTATTGAGAAATATGTACAAATATTAAATGTTGAACCTAGTAACTCAAATGATTAGTGTTCAGTGATATCCCAAACCCATAAAGTTCAAATCTTGAATCTGCCTCAAAATGTTAAAAGTTCCACAAAATGTTGCCCAACAATCTCTAGTGTTTTCTCTGTTGGGTTGTTTTTCAGGTGTGGTGAGTGGGTCATACAAAAAACTTTGTTATGTTTTCTATTTGTTGGTAATGTATTTAACACATGGATTAGTTGTTATAATGCTGCATTTCAAAAGAAAACTAAAAGGACCTTAAAGATATAAATTGGCCATTCTGTACAATTTTGCTACAAGGACCAGAGATTGTCCACGCCCTAGAAAAATTTGTGGAGACCATTATAAATGGACATGCCATTGATATGAAAGAGCAGTAGTAGTAAAGAAGGGTCTGGGTACTGGGTCCTGTTGCATTAATGCTCTGTTCCTATGGCCCTCCATTTTAAAGCATATGCATTTTGACCATGACATATTCAATTACTTCACGTTTGTGTCAGGGTACTGGGAAGGTTGTGACCATGCTATCCTCCCATTCTAGGATATTAATTTGACTCTTTGGAGTGTTCGTAAAGATGTTGCCCTACAGTTTTTATTGCTTCTTTCAAATATAACTGTAAAAAACAGAACCTTTACCTACTAAAAAAGAACTGTAGATGACAGAATAAATGCCAAGTACTATAGCAATTTCATTTCATGGTGAATAAAAACTTATCTTGTGTGTACATGCCCAATCCAATGCATCTGGTTGCACACGAAGAGAGAGTTTACTGCATTTTTAGAGCTTCTCAATGAATGGTTAAATGCGCTGGGTGCACCGATGTGATTGGCGCTTTTTTTTCGTGAGAAGAAAAAAGAAATGCACCAATCACATCTGTGCATCAACAAAATGTTTTTTCTAAATTGGGTTATTTCCTTTTGTTCTCTGCTTGGTAATTTTGCAACATATATATAGTTAATAAAGATAATGATATCTTTATTCATCTTTACGGATGGTTTAGCACAAAATCATGGGTAGATGTCACAGTTTATGTTAGTGAATGCTAATATTTAGATTGTGAATCGGACATTTACTAACCACCTCGTCTGTTACATGTTTCTTTGACTTTTGTGAAGAAAATGTTTCTAGAATCTGGACATATTACCATGTTATGTTAGTTATTTGGTGGATGCTTATTAATCTCAGTAAATTAACAAATCAAATGCTGGGAATTGCCAAAGGCTTAAAAAAATATACTTTTCCCAGTTGATAGACAGTCTTACGTGGCCCCAGCATTAGTTAGGGATATTTTGAACTTATAAGTCCGGTTTGTATCAACTTCTACGTTGGGAACTCTATTTTCAGTTCCTGGCTTTTGTTTCTACTATTTTGAGTGTAATCAGCTTTGAACAACCATTATTTCTAAAAGAGATGTACAGCTAACTGATATACACATCTAATCATCTTTATTTCTTATGAGCACAGATACAACAGAAAAGTAGGAATTGTCTGCTTCAATAATTGAACTTGTTTGAAGATCTAGATCTGTATTGATATTTTATTGGTGTACCATTCAGAAAGGGACATAGATTTAGAAACAGTGATCCTACTTCTTGTGACAGAGTAATTTGACAATTTGTTCATTGAGCTGATCATTTTTTTTATTTGTCCCATCTTTAACAAAGAAAAAAGTTTGCATTGATAAAAATATGAATTTCCACATACATGCAAATAAAATATGGTGGTAGTGTCATGTTCGTGCAACATCATGCTGTATAAGTAACAGTAAAATTGCATATTTAAGATGCTTAATTTTTTAAATCTTCTGTAAGTCTTTAGTTAAAAGCCATATGAATTGTGCATGTTCTTGCGGTCATTCTATTTATTCTTCTGTCTTGCAGTCAACACCTTAAGCATCATGCCCCCTAGAACATTCTTTTCTCGTTACATCTTATTAATAAGTACGTTTTCTTGGATTAGCCTTTACCCTTCCCTCCATCTGACTACTAATTTAATGGAACACTCAGAAATTACAACATATGATGGCCTTGAAAGCTGTATTTTGAACAGTCAGCCATATGACAATCAAAGTGTCACTAGCAGAGGTGACGGAGGTATTACAGATTCCTTGGACGACGATGACTCAAGCAGCAGTTCCAGCAACAATGTTTTTGGATCTTTCTCTTCTCACTGGACAACAATGAAGAGGGATGATGAGTGGGATTTCTCAGCAAGCCCACAACATTACTATGTAAAAGAAAAACCTGCTTATGCAACCCAGTTTTCAGATGTGGAAACAATGAAAGAAAAATTTGCAAAATTGTTACTTGGGGAAGATGTTACTGGAGGAAGCAAGGGGATTTCCACTGCATTAGCACTGTCAAATGCCATTACAAATCTTGCCGGTAGTAAAGATTACTAATTTGGTTTTCTTCACTAGTATTCCCCTAGCTTACCTCTTTGATTATGTTACAACTAAAAAGTCTAACAGGCCAATAGAATAGCTCTCTAATATTATGCACATCTGAAAACACTAGCTATAAAATGATGAATATTCAATACTCTAGCATCTTAACTTGGTTTTGGTCAAGTTTAACTAGAAGTAATTTTACAATCTGAAATCTGATTTAAGGATTTATGAGCTGTGTCTAGTCACAGTTTTAGGTTCTGATGGTGTGGATGCAGCAGACAAGAAGTTATGTTGATGAGAATAAATAATAATTAGTGTTGAGAATACACAAACAAAGTATTTGGAGAGCGTCAAGGAACATAAAAGATTTGCATGGAGCTTAGAAATCATTCTACTTGTTCTGTTTTTCCACTTTGCTGTTACTCTTTTCTCCTGATTATACTGTTACTGGATTTGCAGCATCAGTGTTTGGAGAGCTCTGGAAATTGGAGCCACTTGCGGAGGATAGGAAGAGGAAATGGAAGAGAGAAATGGATTGGTTGCTCTCTCCTACAAACCATATGATTGAGTTGGTCCCTGCTAAACAAAATGGTTCTAATGGCCAGAAATTGGAGGTATCTGTGACTTTTAGCCTTTCACTGAATGTATTTCATCGCAGTAAAATTTTTATGCTAAGTTCCACTTGCTGTTGGAGCAGATCATGACTCCAAAAGCTCGTGCGGACATCCATATGAATCTTCCAGCACTTCAGAAGTTGGACTCCATGCTTCTTGTAGGTGGTCTCTTTAATTCTAGAAAAGTGGGCTATTTCCTTTAGCATCAATTTGGTTCTATTTCTGAATATCATTTCTTGCAATGTCTAGGAAGCTCTGGATTCAATGGTTAATACCGAGTTTTGGTACATGGAAGTGGGTAGCCGAGCAGAAGGAAGAAGCAGAGGTGCTGGGCAGAGCAAAAGGTGGTGGCTTCCCTCACCCCAGGTACCCATATCTGGGCTCTCTGATCCTGAAAGAGACAAATTGTTGAATCAGGGTAAATTGGTGAATCAAATATTTAAAGCAGCTAAAGCTATCAATGAAAACGTCTTGTCTGAAATGCCTGTTCCAACAATCATTACAGATGCACTTCCAAAGGTAAGTTACCTATGTCACTAAAGCTATTATTTAACTATATATTTCTTTGTTTATAAGAAACAGGTAACAAGATCAATTCACTCTAACAGTCTGGCAGGACAAGTCTAGGGGAGGAACTTTACAGGATCCTATCGGCAGAATCAACATCTGTGGAGGCGATGTTCGTGGCCCTTAACATAAGATCTGAACACAATGCCCTTGAAGCTGTTAACAGGTTGGAAGCAGCAATACTTGCCTGGAAAGAGAAAATAGCAGAACATGCTGGTGGAAAATCTCCTGCACGAACATCTTGGTCTTTCATAAAAGATCCAATATCTGAACTGGACAAGGTAGAGGTGTTATTGAGCAGAGCGGAAACTCTTCTGCTGCAGCTCAAGATTAAATATCCAAACCTTCCTCAGACATTCCTCAATGTCACAAAGATCCAATATGGCAAGGTAGTAATTATATCTCACTAGCTACATCCATAAGATATGCTAAGAGCATTGTGATACACTCACTTCTCTGTTCTCGTTTAAGTTCTTGAGATTCTCAAACTTTTTTATTAGTGGGAAGGAATTGAATGTGAGTGGTGGTTCTCAGATGAGGGAACTCTTCCCTCTAATTTTTTTCTTAGTAAAAAACAAACTAGAATCTTTCAGTTGAAATAGCTTTCTTGTCTGTATGTTGAATCGTTTCTTATCCTTGTATTCTGTTCTTACAGTAGCCGGTCGGGCAATATAGGTCTGGAAGGTCAGAAACATTGCCATTTTGTCATGTTGCTTTATAAATAGGGTCTTTAATTGTTCCAAGCAAACAATTGTATATATTTGTCCACCACAATTACTGGACAGGGATAGTTGTCCTGCCGTTTGAGTTGTTTTAGCTTATATTGTATCTCCCTAGTGCTATGAGCTGCGTATGCCGTGTTTTAGAATATCAAGATTATGGGAGGAAAGACTAGTTGTTATTTTCATGGTTGCTCAATGAGTTTTTAATTGTTTTGTTCTTCTGTTGTAACCATTGTAGGATGTTGGACGTTCAATTCTTGAAGCATACTCTCGGGTTCTCTTGAACTTGGCATTCTGCATCCTAACTAGGATAGGAGAAATTCTTCAAGAAGACAACTTGAGCAATCCTAATTCACCCGCGGCTGCATGCCACCTTC